GCTCCTCCCGCTGCAGCTTCCGCAACCGCATGGGAGCCCTGCTGCAGCGCCAGACCGAGGTGCAGGTGGCCTGTAAGTGACGTCCCAGCGATCGGGGGGACATGGGGTGACACACAGTGCAGGGGAAGAGGCTCCCATACCCAATACAAGGATGAGGAGGGTGGCTTCCAGAGGAAGGCCCCGGGGCACAGGGGGACGTTGGCTGCTTTGCCGACCCAGGGCGCCGCGGGATGTGCCTGGTGTCCCCCCGGGATGCCCTGCGCTCACCCCGCTGTGCTCCTCCGAGCCCTTGCTTGGAGCAAGGACAAATCAGGAAGCTAATGAGGAATTAATAAGGCAGCTGTGCTAACAACTAGTGCTAATGGCAAAGTCGTTAAAAAAAGATTCTTTACATGTTTTTAATTACAGCAATTAAGGGAAGTCAATAAAGATCCCCCCCCTTCCCCTTGCACCCTGCTTTACTCTGCTTTATCGCAAGGGTTGTAAATTCCCAGCTCGCGCTGGGCTAAGCGCGGAGGCGGCAGCGGCCCCGTGGCCGCGCGGGGCTGACGCGGCGCCTCCGCAGACATGGGCAGCTTCGAGGAGGGCAAGGGGCAGCAGCGCGTGTCGCAGGGCGACGCGGCCGTGGTCCCCGCTCCGCGCATCGCCAGCTTCCCCCGGCCCCAGGTCACCTGGTCCCGCAGGATCCCTGCGTCCCCGGCGCGGCGTTTCGCGTGCCGCGGGTCCCCAGCGCTGCATTTCCACCCGCCGGGTCCCCGGAGCTGCGTTTCCCCTGCTCTGGGTCCTGGGTGCTGCTTTTCCCATGCTCTGGGGCTGAAGCGCTGCATTTCCCACCCTCTCCATCCCAGGTTTTGCATTTCTCACCCACCACGTCGTGGGTGATGCTTTTCCCTTGCTCTGGGTTTGGAGCATGCTGCATTTCCCACCCTCTCCATCCCAGGCGCTGCATTTCCCACACTCCAAGTCCTAGGTCCTGCTTTCCCCTCCGCCAAAACCCAGGAGCCATGGACCAGCCTGGCCTAAACCTCCCTCTTGGGCACCTTGCATCAAAACCTGGACACGGCCACCAATGCTCCAACTTGGCACCAGGGCCCGGGGGTGCTGGGAAAACACGGGATGGGGGACATGCAGATGGGACGCAGCGGCAGGGAGGAGCACCCGGCGCTCACGGATGTGCCGTGCCGGAATTGAATTTGTAACTCACATTATGCAGGAATTGAACTGGTCTCCTTTCTATTTGCAAAGCAGGATTGAGGAGATAAAACTGCTTTATCTCGTATTTAATGGTAAAATATATTCCCCAAACCATTTTATGCTTCCAGCAGATTAGATCGTTCCATAAAAAAAAAAAAAAAAAAAAAAAAAAAAAAACACACTATGAATCTGCACTGTGCACGGTGGCCGGGAGGGGGACAGTGGGGGTTCATATTTGGGGCTCATGGCTCTGTCCCCGTCCCACATTGCTGCCCTGTCCCCACAGAGCCATCACGCTGGACAACACGCTGGTCATCCTGTCCACGGTGGCCCCGGACGCGGGGCGCTACTACGTGCAGGCGGTGAATGACAAGAACGGGGACAACAAGACGAGCCAGCCCATCACGCTGGCCGTGGCCAGTGAGTGCGGGCGGCCCCTGCCCGGCTGCGGGGCTGGGCCCCCATTTAATTTGCAGTAAATCTCTTCGGAGGCTCCGGCTGCTGCTGACTTAGCAATTGAGCCGCTTCCAAATTTACTGCGGCGCGTGCGAGAGCTGCGCTGTGCATGGAGCCCGTCCCGGCCATGCGCTGCTCCAGGGTGCTCCAGGCGTCCGGAGCAGAGGAGCCCCCGCTACGGGCAGCTCCCCGGCTTTGCCCCTGTCCCCTGCATTGCTCCAGATCAGCCCCGCACGGGTGGCCCCGTCCCTCTGCTCCCTGGGACCTGCTCAGGGATGAGCCTGACCCAGGAAAGCCGCCCCGGAGCGTCATCGCTCTGCGCGGTGCCGCTGCTCCGGGTGCTGCCCCGGGTGCCTTCCTGGCAGGATGTTTGTCCGCCTCCCCACCTCGCTAATCTGTTGCTCTGCACCTCGCCGTCCCAGCGGGCAATAAACAGCACGGAGCCCGTTTATGGATTCGGCTCTATCAGCAGCTTTCGAGCCGATCACATTTTTATGGCGCCTACATGAGGGTTTTTTATCGTGGCAATTATTTTGCTTTATATACTCCCTGCCTGCTCCCTCCCAGCCCGTGCCGCGCCGGAGCTACTCTCCGGGCTCGCTGCTTTGCGGGGAGCGCAGGGGTGCCCTGATGCCAGGGTGATGGGCTGGTGCTGCCCGAGAGACGGAGCCGGCGGTGCCCTTACCGGGGCCATGCAGCCCTTGGGGAAGGGGCTTTGGGGCTGCTCGTGGAGCGCACCGGGAGCGCGTGGGCGCTGACGCTGTCGCTTTGGCTGCTCATGCACAGACGTGGGCGGGCCAGCCGATCCCATCGCTCCCACCCTCA